CCCCTCTCTCTCTCTCTGTCACTCATCCTCTCCTCCACACACATCTTTGCACATAACCATAAAAATACAATAGCAAGTTTGCACTACTACAACTACTACAACAAGTGGTTCTTAGCCTGGGTGCGATTGAACCACTGAGGTTTGGTGAGTCTGTCTCAGGGCTTGCATCGTTTGCACTGTCAAGCAAACATCGTAGTGACCTCTTTGAATCTGAAGTAAATCAGCACATCACGGACACCTCTTTGAACTCTCAGTCCAGACTGGACAGGACTGCAAGCACGATAGTACTCATCCTCTAATCTATCCACCTATCAAATCCAATTGTTCATTCATCCATGCGCCTTTTCATGAATCTTTATACCCATTTATTCCCAAATAAGCTACCCAAAGTTCATTTATCCATCCTTCTATCTCTCTTTCTATTATTTGAAATACATTATACAGTAATACTGCTGTTCCGTTACGATATAACAAAGTCAATATAAAACAACTTAGATCTAATTCAAATAAAATTTGATTTAAATTAATTAACTCTGTCCTTCAGTCTTGATTTCTTAGGGAGAGCACAATTGAGAACGTTTTTAAACACACCTAACCTTCTGAAGGCTTAGTAGCCTTCCCTTGTCGCATTGTTTCCAGTAATCTCTTGTTCACTTACTCCTGTATGATTGTCCTTCACTTTTCCTTTTATTAGTTTTTTTTCTTGCATTGTGATTGTTGCTGCTTTGTTGTTATTTATTTTTAAATTCTTGCTTCAAATTAGCTTTAAGCACGTTTTCTGCTCCAGATTTTAATTAATTCTTTTCCCCTGTCGAAATGCTTACTTTTTACTATAAAGGCAAAAGCAACTGACAATTTTACAACATTATTCAAACAGTTGCATTCTGTATCGAGTGTTCTGATAAAAGCTTATTATAAACATTTCCCTTTATACATTGACTCTGAAAGCACAGGAAATTGTTTCTAAATACTATATTTATGCAAAGCAAAGAGGAAACAAGATATCTTACTTCTATGAACGCGTAACGTTGATCAGCTAAGTTGTCATTTATTTTGAAAACATGTTTTCGCTGTTTTTATTATTCCTTTGTCACGTTCACACGTAACGTAATATCATAATATCTCAGCGGGAAATTTTGTCATAGCAGGCTAAAATGGTTATATCTGTTCCGGTTACATACAGTCCAACAACCACGCGCATTTTATGTAAATGAAAGTAATTTTAGCTATAAAGTGAGAAAAATTACCTTTCTCTCTGTGTGTTCAGCTCGTGGTGTCCCCATGTTTTTATTGCTTTCTGTGACAAGGAAAGTGAATGCAGAGAGCTGTTAATAAAAGAATAAATAATGTATTGCAATATAAAGAGAATTATCTTGTAATATTCTTACTATTGCCGCAACCAGTGTAACCCTTTAAGATACCAAAGGTCTATTTTCAGTTGAGTACAATAAATAGGCAAGTTATGTGCTGAGTAAGGTTCCTTGCTGCATTGCACATTCACGCCTAGCATTAAGTTTGAAGTTTATGCTTAAGATCAAACCTTTGAATGTGAAAACTTCTTATATCCCTGTATGAACTTTAATGCGTTCATAATCCATGGCCAAGAAAAGTAAATATTCAAACACATGCAACAAGAGAAAAAGATTACATGTCAATCAAGCAAA